GATAGCCCTCGTGTAGCTTTGCGCGAAATTCAAAACAAACAAACTATTCCTTGATCCCGAGCTCCATCTCAATAATATTGTTCTTCCTGTGGTCCTTGAGGTAAAGTTCTAGGGCTTATCTTTGACTGTAAGCATACCTTAATTTCTCACTTAAAACAGCTATGTGCCAAGTATACAAGGACACTTAACATCTTCCATGCCCTCTTCCACTTCTTGGAGAGTGGATTAACCTCCTATGCTCAAGATCTATTGTACCCTCATTTGATCCAAACTGTACTATGGGTCTATGGTTCTGCCAGAACCTCTGTCTTGAAGATCCTGGACCCCATTCACCATCTGGGGCTTCGGCTCTGCACCAGGGCTTTTCGCACTTCTCCAGTCCAGAGTTTGTCTCATGAACCTCCTCTTCACCTTCGCCATTTGCAATTTTCTTTGCAGCATGCTATTAAACTTCAATCTTTACCACAGCATCCCACCTGGGATTGTGTCATTCTTCCTCAGAGGGCTATGCTTGTTCGAAATAGATGGTCTAACATTTAATCCTTTTGGCCTTCGTATCCAGGCGCACCTGGCTGAATTGGATCTGTCATTGGATGATGTTGCTGTCTCCAATGATCAGCCCATTCCACCCTGGCTTATTACCATCTCCACCTGTGACTTTTCTTTGAGTCATCCCTACTGGAAGTACCGTCTTCTCTTTGCAAATCATCTTTTGAACCATTCTTCTGTTTCCGTTTTTACGGATGGTTCGAAATCGGGTGACTATGTTGGCTCTGCGATGGTATGTTGTGACTCGGTGATTGCTCACAGAATCTCTTCTACAGTATCTGTGTTCACTGCCGAGTTGTATGCCTTGGATCACGTAGAAGCTATGCAGTCCACTGAATGTAGCATTTCAACTGACTCTCTTATCTGTCTACTGGGCTTAACGTTAGTTCTCACCCTGTTCTCGTCAATATTCAAAAATGACTGGCCAATTTTTCTCTATCTTCTGTTTCCATCCAGTTTTTCTGGATACTGGCCACACACGTATTTGCGGGAACGAGCTCGCTGACACTGCAGATAAGTCTGTATGCTTTGGTGCCGTCACAGTCGTGCCTGTCCCATATATGGACTACGGTCCTGTATTGAAGGCTCGGCTTAGCGCCAGTTAGTAGTCGGCTTGGGGTGAACAACGTCGTAGCAAGCTTTTCCAGATTAAACCTACTTTTCTTCTCTGGCCATCTTGTCTCCGTAAGGATCAGAAGAAGGAACTTGTTTTGGTTAAGCTACACATTGGTCACAGTTTTTCAAACACAACGTGACAAAATTAAAATGACAACCAAAGGCTTAGTTCAATATCAAACCATTAATTTCAACTTTATTCTTTTACTTTTAAATTTCCAATAGTTTAATAACTTAGATTAAAGATCAAAATTCCTAATTAGCAGTGCATATTATTGATCATTTTTCCATTAATACTGTAATTTCTTTTCTATATTAAATCTAATGAAAGCAAAATTTAATTCGCACTTAATCGGTGTTTAGACCATGATGGTTCAGCTTGAAACTTATAACACTAAAATTTGAAACTCCATACGGCGAGCACAGCGCAGATAACTCATTGAGCAGCTTTGCAGTTAAACAAATAAATAATCTCTCAATATCTAATCCGTTTGTTTTCACCAGAATTTATAGGCGTATTATTATCATTAAACTGACCAACAAGTTGATTATGGTAAATAAACATAATTTTCACTTTCACTGTATAATTTCTTGTCAAATGAAAAAATGTAATCACAGTCAAAAAACGCCTACAAGGTGAAATATCTTAATTGCATGTATTAATTGTGTTCCCATAGTATGATCATTAATATGGTATCACAACACAGTTGTGTGTTAGTTGTATCAGAAAGTTGTGCTATTCGATGGGACGCGCCTTTAAATAAAACACTTACTTTTTTTAAGTTTTTATTTGTTCTTACATTATTGGATATTTTCCTTTAGTCTGAATAAAACAGTGCTGCAGAAATTGTAATATAATTAATTAATAACTATTTTGTAGCTGTACACTGCAAGCTGAGCTCTTGGAGTCAATGGTCCAGCTGTTCCGTGAGTTGTGGTATAGGTGGCTTGCAGGAAAGGATCAGAAAAGTCAAGAGAGAACGAAAACGTGGCGGTCTTCCTTGTAAACCTTTAATAGAACGGCAACCTTGCAACCTGAAAACATGTCCTTATAATGGTTAGAGTGTAGATTTATAGAACTTTCCTCATAATGATAAATGTTTTTAGTTTCGTCTTGAAGTCAGCAAATTTCGTCTGATCCCAACAACGATAAACTACTTCGTAGTTACATTATTTTATACGAATACGTAATGAAGTTTTCTAACATATCCATTGAGACTAAATCGAACAATCACGTATTTGAATAACCTACAGTGAATAATTTAGTTTTCTCATGAAATTGTCTTGTTCGGTATTTGTGTTCGCCAGTATTTAAGTAGCTGGTACTTTACATTTCATCAAACGTGCGTAATTTAACATCTATTAGATTTCCATACATCTTCTAAATCAGCTGTGGTATCATGGAAAGAATTATAATCTCCGGTAACCTAACATCTCACTTATAAGAAAAAAATAGTTTTGATATACACTAAACAATGACTAATGGCGGACAAAAAAACAAACAAAAACAAAACAGATCTATAAAGCGTTTTTACCATTCGTCTTTTAAATCCGTAAATTGAGTAAAACATTTCCAGTCAAGAATGTTGTTTCACCACATTCAATGAAAACAAAAGAATTTTCTGTATTCGCTTTAGATGTGTTGAACATTTTATTACAATGTCATTATTTGAGGTTATAATTTTCTGTAAACGCTTTAGATGTGTTGAACAGTCTATTACAATGTCATTATTTGAGGTTATAATTTTCTGTACTCGCTTTAGATGTGTTAACAATTTTATTACAATGTCATTATTTGTGGTTATAATTTTCTGTACTCGCTTTAGATCTGTTGAACATTCTATTACAATGTCATTATTTGGGGTTATAATTTTCTGTACTCGCTTTAGATGTGTTAAACATTTTATTACAATGTCATTATTTGGGGTTATAATTTTCTGTACTCGCTTTAGATCTGTTGAACATTCTATTACAATATCATCATTTGGGGTTATAATTTTCTGTACTCGCTTTAGATGTGTTGAACATTATACTATAATGTCATTATTTGGGGTTATAATTTTCTGTACTCGATTTAGATGTGTTGAACATTCTATTACAATGTCATTATTTGGGGTTATAGTACTAGTAATGATTTACCGTTTTATGTTTTTAGAGAGAATCAAGGTGAAATGAAAAGGTACTACCTTCAGCGATACTAGCTACTAGTAGATTTAATCGTGTGTAAATTATTTTTTCTTTGAACAACCACAACAGAGCTGGATTATTGTTCACAAGTTCTCTATGACTTTAATATTCCTAAAATGTCGCTTTTTCTAAACCATTAATTTATAATCGTGTTATGAGGCAGTGTTTTTCATACGTTAATTTAAAGATAATTATTTTTTCTTATTATCCCTTTAAGAAACAGTGCTATTGTTTTTCTTTATTTAAAAATTACCAGTTCAATCTTATTATTTATACTCTAGGTCTAATAATTTAAAACTAGAGTTTTACGCACACACATACACATGGCAGCATTGTAATTTTGTTGTTGACTGTACAAGAGGTTTGAACTTTCATTGTGCGTGTTATATTCTTTTATTAAACTGTGTCACTACTTCCTGACTTTTTAGATCTCTTAATTATTTTTAATCTAATAATGCAAAATGCTTGAACTCAAGTCAAAGCTATTTTTAAAAGCTAAGCTTGATGTTTGATTTAGTCTTTAATAAAACATGCTTATACTAGCATGCCAAAGAAAAGAAAGATCTTGTAAAGTATACCCATGTACTTAGAGTTAAAAATGAGGCTGCATGAGATTCTAATTTACTTTAACGTTATTATAACGTATTACACTGGTGAATAAATCTAGATATAACGGTTGTTTAGAACAATAATCTGCCTAGCATGGGTTCGAATTTTGTTTGGATGCTTTGATTGCACTTATTATAGTTCCTCGGAAGTGCATGCTGGAAATACTTCTGGTCCGACTTGTTTCTCATTGAATCTATTTATATTTTAAGACTAGTGTTAGTGCGAAAAACTCGATTACACTAAAAACACGCAGGATAAAGAAAGACAGTTTTTCTGCTTTCTAAGAATCATTATTGAGTCTTAAACATTTAAGTGGAATACGATTATGTAAAATATATTTTGTTGTGTTTGGTTACATATCCTATTTCGCTCTAATTTTCTAAATAAAATTGAAATTGAATTAATATTTTTTCAAAATAAAGAAAGCTCTATTTTATTAATAAATCACCAAACCTCTTTGGAGTGGAAATAAAATATTATATATATTTAAATAAAATCAAGTTTAAAATGTTTCTTAAATATTTGTGTATTAAATTATCGTTTTAAGCAAAACTGTTTTTTGATTTAATTATACCTTTATGTTTTTTTTTTCAGGTTAATGAACACGTCAAAGCTAGAAAACGGAAATGTGGGGGAATTGTCCAGTGACATTGTATATAGTGTATATCGCTTTCATATTCTGCTGGAATGCTAGTCGTAGTTTTTGCCAATAATTGTAGGCTCTGTGGATTGTATACGCTTGAATGTTCAGGATAGTAAACTATTCAGGATTTCATTCCTTGTTTCACACTTTATTTTATTTGAAGTGTGCAGAAAGTACTGTACTTGAAACAAGACTTCAAAAGAGAATCAACTTCTAATTTCATCAAATTTTGAAACTTTAAAAGTATTTTGTTTAAAGGAATACAATCAAATATTGTTTACTAATTTTGAAACAGCATAAGGCACTCGTGCAAATATTACTTAATTTCTTGAGGGAAACTTGAAAATAAAAATATATATATATATATACCTCCCATTATTGCAGTTAAACTCATTAGTTACTGCTATGGTTTTTTTTACGTAGCTTGCACGTGAATTGAGCGATTTCATCTAATTTGTTTTTGTAATATCAAATAAAATAGCATTATGTATTTTACCCAAAGAAAAATTCAGAAAATCATGTTTTCACAAATACCAAATATTTTCACCTCAAATATTAAAGTTTCGACCAATAAGATGTTTTATCAGAGTAGCAGCTTCATTGACTAAAGTTTCAACTTATAGAATCATCTTATCAGACTAGCACAAATAATTAGGTTTTTATCAATATGAGACCTCATCAGACGACCCATATTAAGAAACTAAAATTTCGACTAATAAATCTCATCAGGAAAGACATATACGAGAGAAGTTTCAACTTGCATCAGATAGTATCAGACTGCCTACGTCACGTTCTTAATATGCGACTAATATTACATATCTTATTAGGTTATCTCCGTCAATAAAGTGTACAAAGGGAGGTAAGTACATATTACATGTACACGAATGACTCTTTGCTTTGTATATTTTGTTGAAAACACTGTGTTTAGGTTCATTCTATTTAATCTATTTAGTATATTTGATTATATCTACACAGATTTATTAAACGCCACGAAAATGATTTTTATTCTTGTGAAACACGTCAATATTATTCTGTAAAATGAAGTTATTCAAGCTACTCGGGGAGGATGGAGTAGGACGGCCATCTTAAATTTGAATCTGGATTTCACCAATTAAGGTTAATGTCATGAAAAAGCAAAAGGTTTCAAAAACCCTGTTTTATTATAAGCTAGCGTATAGCCCGTCATAAATGACGGGCCAAATACTACCACCTCCACAGTATACCCTAACCTCACATTTCATTGTTAACTGAAATATATAAATTTTGAGAAATCAGGCTTGACCAACAAACAGGCATAAAAATTTAGTCGTGGCAGTCAAATGTCAGTAAATTTCTTTGTAAGCCAATCAAAATTAAGGTCATTTATGAAATGAATTTGTGACGTATTCACAGAATAATTATTCGTAAAAATCAGTTAGATTAACAACTTCTAATATATAGAAAAATTAGTGCGTTTTAGTAACACTGCGTTCCAACAATGGCTTTTATGTCAT